ACTGATCTTTTAAGGTATGTTCATGAACAAACCTCTAGATTGTACACATTCACGGCAACAGGACGTCATAATGTAGCGTTATGTTGCTTGGCAACCTGACCACTTAAAACCACTGGGTTATTGATATGTCATTTATCGGAGACGGAATATTTATTATTGATGTAGTTATTCCAACCACTGGAAACTTGTCTCAGGCTAATTTTCTTTGATATTCATATTCTTTCTCATTCAAAATAACTTTTTTTTCGGTTTTTCCATTTTAACGAATTGTAATCTGGCTGTTTTCTAGTCAGTGAGAGAGTCATTCAACGAGGGTAAGTAAAGCAAGAGAAATTCGTAAGAAACCCTTCTTGTGTTTGATCTTTTCCGTCCGTGTGATAACTAGGTTATGGACTTCGCTGTCACCGAGCTATAAAAGAGATTGCGATGCTTCTTGGGATTAAAGACATGCGCTGTAAGGTTCAGGGACCCACGACTCCTCTTAGCCTCGTTCGAGCGACTTTTCAGGGATTGCTCAGCCAGGTAAAACGCAGTTTTTTTTTTTCATGGCTCTTTAATCCCTTGTATGAATTATATTATTATGATAATGATTAATTTTATAATCACGAATTGCGCGTTTTCTTGTCCTAGTTGCTTAAATATTATTTTACTATATAATCACAAGGTCACTTGGTATGCGAGAAATCGTTGTGACTCTGAAACTATAACTGCTAGGACAGAGGACATTACGGCGGTGGGCTTCGTTTATTTGGAGACTTTCTACGCTAATGAGTTAAAGAAATCAGCGGCTTAACTGTAAATTTATTAGCAAGGATGGTGTAGTGGTGAGAGCGCGTCGTCTCGCGCTAGTGTCGCGGAAGTGGCCAGGTTCTATTCTTGGACCCGCTGGTGCATATGAAGATTGAGTTTGTTTGTCGTTGGTTCTCGCTCTTGCTGCAAGGTTTGTTTTCTCCGGGTTCTTCTGTTGTCCTCCCTTTAGAAAAGCAACACGTGCACGTCTTTTAAAATATCATTCGATCTGGGAACAGTGGACGAATGTTCACTCCGTGGATTATCATATTCCCATTTTTTTTTCGAATTTTCATTTATCTCTCTTATTTATACTCGCAGGAAACGCACCAGCAGCTAGCTGATCGCACGGGCCTCAACGTGGTGGAGTTCAGAACCGAGTGTGGAATGAGACCTGTTATTGTGGCCTCCCCTCGTGAAGGAGCCCAGAACAAGATCTTAAAAAAGAGATCAGACAAAGCGGAGTATGACTTGAATGAAGTCTTCGACCCTTACAGGGGACTACATCGACCCAAGAAAGTACAAGATTTGTTCTAGTCCAAATCGCGTGAATCGACAGCTGTGGCATTTGCTAACTGGTCTTAAAATATTTTCGCCCGTGTTTTATGCGAACTCAGATATTCAAACGTTACACATGGGATGTAAGAAATCAAATGTCCATGAAATAACCATTGTGTAGTGTACGTCCGCAAGAGGTAATTTTTATGGATGATTTGTCTCGCTGCTATAGGTCCCATCCCATTGGGCGAGGCGGGGGGGGACTGCAATATGAAAAGGTCGGAGATGCTCGTCGGAAAATTTGAATTAAGCCCCTAAAGGAGAACATTCTGGACGTGGCTCGAGCTTTATTTGACCCATAAAGGATACCACTGAAAACGGAAAAGGCTCGATTACCGTCCTCTGTTCAGGAAAAGAGCCCGCGCTAGTAGACTAGACTCTAGAGACCGGCGGAAATCGAGCCTTAAAAACGGAAATAAAAGAAATAAGACTATTATTTCTTTGAGTGCACCCTAAAAGATACTTTGACGGCTAAAAATAGTGGTGTTTCGTCATGAACACCCTAAGTGAGACCAGAATTCTTGCTTATACCCCTAAGCGAGACGACGAACATCCCCGACGTTTTCACATGGGAGTCCTTCCCCGGGGGTCCCATGAACACTTGAAGAAATAACACATGAAAAAATAACATAGAAATAGACAAATAGGCCCTTTGCACGATTCGGTCACATGGTACAAAATCACACATGCTTGTGAGCAAGTTCCGCAGTGGGACTTCCAAAACAAAGGCAGGTCCAGGTGGACTGGTACGAGTTGCATTGTTTTGGAAGTCCCTCTGTGCAACTTGCTCACCAGCATGTGTGATTTTGTACCATGTGACCGAATCGTGCAAAGGGCCTATTACAGAACAAAATTGAAAATAAAGTGAACTTGAAATTTTCAACTAATAAAAGTATCTCATTTTAACCAAACTTCTTGTTTACTCGACCGATGAAAATGTCTCCATGCACTGCAGTGCGATCGCTTGCTGGACTCAGAGCGTTAACGATCGAGCACCAGTTATCGATATCTTAAGGACGTTCGCGCGAAAATTTTCCACTCGATAGATTGTTTTAGATTTTTGCTGCAGTCAGATAATGAGTTACTTGTGTCAGAAATGATAAAAATGTTGGGGGTCACCGACTTCGTTTCAGAAACAAAGCGTGTGGAAAACCACCCTGATTTTGAAAAATTGGCACGTGTAATTCAGCATCGTCTACAAAGGTTTATAGTTTAAAATATCGAATGTGGGCCAACGGAGACAAACGATCTTAGTCATATTTTGTAGAAGTGGATCTGTTGCGTAAAAAACTCCAAATGTTGCCAACGTTTTCACAGAACTTGACCCTTCAAGAGGGAATTGAAACCGCCGCACAGAAACGAAGGGCTGAAAAGAACGGAATTCGATGGTGCATTTTGCCAAAAATTCAAACTTCTAATCGATAGATTTTCTGCATTTTTTCGCCAAACGTAGCAAATCGGTGGAGAAAATGATCCATCAAAAGAAAAATAGGGTTCATCGAACGTCCAAGATCGTTAAATCCAGGCTAAACTATGGCAATGGTCGTCTGCCCTTTCATTGTTCATTTTATTCCTTAGTGCGCGCTCGATGCATGACGCAATCTCGTTCCCAGAGCACGAAGGCTCTGGGAACGAGATTGTGCGTGAAGGGGCGTGTGAATTTGCGTGCAGTGTTCATGCGCTTGCTCGCGCGCGTCGCTAAGGTGAAAAATTCACTTTCGGTTACGTCATCCTGAGCGCAGAAAATATATGGAAGTCAATAAGTTACAAATTCGCTTACATTTTAGATGTTTTTTCTTTGTATTTCAGAAAACGCAGAGTAAAAAAGGACAAGCAATAACAATACAGAGGAAAAACAGAAAAACAAGAGAAAAAGAAAGTCTAACTCCGTGTGGCTTTCGTGCACTTCGTATGGTAGTGTAAACTGCGCACGTGCTGATAGGGCAACTTTCGATAGATTTTGGGGGCACTTTCGGTTTCTTAAAATTATTTAAGCCAACGTTGGGAACATAGCTATGCATTTCTTTTGTGAAATCATCCTTTTTCCAGTTAATTACGAAATTTTCAAGATTTAGAAATTCTCTCAAAATCTGACCTTTCAGGAAAGAAGTAAAATTAAATCTATGCATAGTGTAATAAAGATTAAAATTGAAATATTAAATCAATGAAAAAAATCCCGACATAGTAATATAATTGAGAGCCTTAACATTTTTCAGATTTAGTCACATGACCATGCGCGTGGCCTGATGACGTCATTACTGGTGTTACTGATCGTGATTATCTTTTACATATTACTTATACTTATAATCACTCAGTTAAAATTGATTAGTTAGTTAAAATCGGTTTTTAATGCAGTGGTGAAAGTAGTCAGGCAATTACTTTGGTTTTGTTTTGTTTTCACTACGGTTTGAGATTAGCTGAGTAGTCTAACTGGTAAGTTACTGGTTTGGTTTTGGCTGTAAGACACACAATTGAAAACCGCTCTAACGAAGAGCTATGTATGTTAAATGTATAATATTGCCTCACGCCTAACTCGTTTTATGTGTGTATTTTACTGTTCAGACTCGAAGAAGAACTCTGAGAAACGTAAAAGCGAAGGGTAGTCTTCGGCCAAGAAGAAAAGAAAGCGTTAAAGGCCAGAACTTGTGGAACAGGTGGAAACTGGTTTTCGGAATGACTTTCATAATGTCATCATAAACGACATTTTCAAGTTCATACTGCGCCCTTAGAAATTAGTGAAAGTAACTGGACAATCAACTCTACGTCTTGTTTGGTCTGGCTCGCTCGCCTGGGAGGTGTAAAAATTGTAGCAAAATCGTCGAATGAAATATGCTTAAGGAAGGGCAGTGAATATTTCACTCGATCACAATTTATTGAATATTAGTGGATGTTTCTGTTGTTTGTTTATAGCCATTTACGAAGAAGTACTTTCTAATAATTTAGCGCGGTTGTAGGAGAAATACACACGCAAAACTCTTTTCAAGGTACATGTAAACAGGAATTGTAGTTCGATGTTATCTTTACAGAGAAACTGCTTATTGAAATTTGGACCTTTTTCAAGTCGGACATAAATTAATTCTTCACATTTGCGCTTGACTGAACAGTTAAAATTACCATTTTGTCTCATGGAATCTTGAAATACGCAGTCAATGATTAAGTGCGTGGGTGAGATTAAACCGATTCTGGGGGTGATACCCGTCAAACTGCATGTTTATTGTAACTCAATGTGTGAAGAGTTTTTTTTTTTCTCCAGTGGGCCGTTTGTGTTTCCAGGAAAGTTGTTTAGAGTTTTGCTGCTCCCTCGAACAGACTAGTGCCCCAATATTTTATTAGGCGAAATTGATGTAAACTTTTAGAACACTCGCCGCATTTCAGAACAACACTACTCACTATATATGGCTAGGAAAAAAAGATGACAAATTTTAACAGGAAGAAATTTAGAAATAAAGTCCGATCGAGTAACGTTAGTGCGACTAAACAAGCGTGAAATAAACAAAAAGTGTGGAGAAACATGATTGGTTGTGAGTAGCTGGCAGGAAAATGAATCGAGTTTAGCGAGGGCGCCATCTATTGTGAATAGCGAGCATTCGGTGACAGTAACTTACACTGAGCTGAGCAGAAATCTGACAACACGGCAAGTAATTTGCGAGGAGATTACCTTTCAAGATGTACTCGTCTCTTATCATGTGGTTTATTCTGTGGCTATCGTGTGTTACTATGATGGTATCCGCAACAGTTGATGACAGTAACGTTTCAACCGGGTCAAAGGCATCCACGGCTCCTACAAAAAAGAGCGACAGCCCAGTTATCGTTAACGTGAATCAACATTCACGCATCATCGAGAAAGCCATCAAATCTCTTGAAACAACTTTGGAGAAAAACTTCCAGCAACTCATACATGTAGTCAACGCTACACCTGGTGAAAATCGTCCCGATAAACCGGATTGTGGTGTTCTTTTCAGTAAAGAGATTTACGTGAATAACAAGTAAGTCGTAACGTTTGAAGTAAAGTATACGGTACACACGATAAGGAAATTAAAATAATCATAAGCCGACCACTTGAAAACGAAACAAAACACAAAATGTTAGTCCGGATGTGTTCCACGAAAAGAGCGAACGAGACGTAAACTAGCATTGAGGGACATTTGACATTTCAGGAATTTGAAGTGTCAGAGAGGACAAGCTAGCTCTTCTCTCAGAGAAAAACTACCATAAATGTTTTGTGAATGGAGCCGAGGCATAACAAAGATGAGGCCTATTCTTAATTTTGTTTTGTTATTTTTCTTTTGTCTTGAGTCCCGTTCTGACCACTAGCTGGTGTTGTTTTCGGTCCGATCCCTGTCCCCGTTCAACTCCTCAATGAGTCACGTTTTTAAATAACCAACTTGTTTGCTTCCTGCCAGTTTGGATTTGTAACCATTAAATGTTCAATTGCATTATTTTTTTCATCGTTTGTTTCCATTGGTCCTGAAAAACCCCATTGGGGGAGTGGTCAATTAAGATATATAAGGTATTATAAAATATATATACCTACAGCACATACAGTAAAATCAAACCAAAAGTTGTGTTAATCATGTAATGAGCTTTTCAACGCAATAATTTCGCGTTTTTAAACAGTGGTCAACAGTTGCCCTTGTTGCAGCTGTCGTGGAAGTTGGTGCAACCTCCTCTATGTGGCTTATGTGTATGACCTGATATTTTTTCACACTGTTTTTATTTTGTTCTCAATAGTCAACCTTTCGTTACGATTACGACTTCTGGAGTAAAAAAAATCGACTTTAACTTTCCAGGAGGCAAGACTTTGTTTGATGCACAAGAGACCAAGTTACCAACCTATTGAAACACACCTTTCTCCAAGATCTGTCTTGCTATGAAGATCGGCAAACAGTTCATTCAAGCAACGAAGCTGAAGATACTGATGACAAAGAGAAGACCTTTTTTGTACCTTTTAAGAAGGCTCCGAGAAAAGACAAGAAAAAGGAAGAAAGTTTGTCCTCGGTCGTGCAAATGTTCCAGAAAGTGGTTGATAATGATACAACTAAGGACTTGCTCACGTTTCTCAAGGAAGAGAACGAAAGAGCACATGAACATGAATTAAGACTCATGCAAATGTTTATGTCCAATTCAAGCAGCCAGCAAAATCGTGATAGCTTTACACCTGCCAATGCACCCCCAGCCATGTGGAGTCCTGGTGGA